GGGGGGGGGGGGGGGGGGCATAAGGGGTTCACCTAAAAACCCTTCGTCGGAAAATTACATTGTACGTATAAGGCAAAATCCGGTTTGTACCTCTGTATATTATATTTTGAATCTTCTTCATATTGCCTAAAAGCATAACTTAGTGGGCAAGAGGGTTCAAAACCTTTATTGGGTTGTTGGTTCAATTCCCACAGCTCACAATTTCTTTTAATTTTTTATTTTTTATTCTTTTTTGAACCCCTTAGCGAAAATCCTAGCATCCGCCACTGTCTGGGAAGGGTAGAGTATACGATACCTTACCCCTATTCCGGAGGGATAGAAAGGCTATTTTCGGAAGACCCTCGGCCCGGAGACAAAAGATCCGTAATAATACCGGCTAAAAAATGTAAACAACAAAAGTCCGCCTATGTTTGGACCATTCTGTTCTTTTTGGACTAACATCCAATATTCGAAATTCATTGGTCCGATTAATTCAAGTTAATGTCACATAAGACGCAATAATTAAAACTTGTGAATATGGATTAAGGCAGTTAATCATTTCTCTAACTTTTTGCCATAAATCATTTCTAACATTTAACTATAATTTAAAATTATTGAAACTTCGTCAAGGAAAATATTAAACCAAAATCTAATGAAGATTAATGTGTAAATAGAAAGTGATGTAGCAGTGAGAGCTCCTCCAACTAGTATATCCCAACCCCAAACATCTGCAATTAGAATCTCATCCCCTAATATTTCCAAAAAAAATCCAGCATTTAGATCCCTTTAAACTTCTCACAATCAACTATTGAATTTTACAACTACATTCTACTGCCATTACTGTGATTTCTACTTGTCTCAAATCCTCATTTTGCCCACGCGATGCAGTTTCAAATTGAGCTCAGCTTTAATTTGACCTAAGTATAGTTTGGATGCGAGTTAATTTAGAATATGATTGAGCAGTTCATCAATTTTGTTATTCGTCCCCCGAGGTGAGTGCGTTTATCCACTAATTTCCTTTTTGTCCTTTTTTTAGGGCACTGTTTGAGGATTAAATTGAATTTTACTCTAGTTGTTGCGTATTTTACTTTTTATTTTATTATTTGTGTGCTTAATTGGATAATGTAGGTTTTTGATCGCATAGTCCATGTTAGAATATTTTATGTTTTTTTTTGCTTCGCATTATAGCTCATAAGTTTATTCTTTGAATCTTTTACCCCTTGTAAAGTACTAAAGTAAGTGAAAACGAAGATTAATTAAGTCATATATAACTGTATCTGAATAAATTAAACAAATTGGAATGATACAGTGAAGATTAGGATTGGCCCCTGAGCAAGGATGACACGTACAAGTCGAGATATGGTCCTAATTTTTAGCACCTAACAATGTGATGTAGAGGCCAATAGAGTGGGAAGAGAATTATGAGGTCTCATGTTCAAATTACAACAGAGACAAAAAATACTAGGTTATTTCTTCCCGTCTGCCTAAGCTTGGTAGGTAGTGCACCTCACAGGATTGACGAAAGCCTACTATTTAAGTGGAGAAGGGTAGAGGAGCAGCCCATTATCTACTGAGTTTTGAACTATATGCCATGGCCATCGAGATTTCTCGGTTATTCAGGAAAAAGAAAGTAAGTTATATGTAATTGTATCAGAAGAATAGAAAAGAATCAAAGATGGAGGCCTTTTTATTCTTTATACTAGTATACGTACCCGCGCGATGCGCGGATTGATTCAAAGGAAAAAAGAGCGGAGAGAGATGATAGAAACATATGTATATTGCAAATTAAATTTAGCGATCGAATTCAAAAGAATTAAACAAAAAATAAATAGATGAATTTCGTTGGGGCTAACATTGGGGTCTAAGTATGATTCAAGACCAAATGACAGTAATCTTCTAATAATTTTTTCAGTAGTTGTGAAGCTAGCTTAGAAGTATGGGGCTCTTCATGACCTATAAAAAATTAAAAAAATAAAATTAAACATCAAGTTTTGAGTACAGTTTATAAAGAAAGAAGTCACACTGAATAATAGTTCATTGTTAATGTTCTTTGTGTTCATTGACGTGCAATTCATTTAACTAAAATAATTAATGATGTAAAAAAAAATAGTTGTGAGCTGTAAAATCACTGAGATTTTATTATCTTTATGATTGATTTGGTTATTATTGAAATTCGGATCCTATAAAAAATATGTATCATAGTTAAATTTACTTCAATCACAAATAACAAAGTTGAGAAATATTTGATATAAAACATACTTTGAATATCTCTGCACATGGAGAAGGAATGTATTTGTTAGTAATATCCTTGTCGTCAGTAAGTGTAATAACTTTAAGGACTAAATCTTGATTCTCATAGTTGGATCTCTTAACTTCCAGTTTAAACATAAACCTTATACTACAATATTTTCTAGCTTCAATGGATATGAAGAGTCATCTGCAGCACCAGAAGACCAAAAAAGGACATATTCAAATGGTTAATAGAAGCTACAGCAGCGGAAGTCAATAATATATGTACTGGCATATACATTTTGTTTGTTCCTCATTAGAATGATTTAAGTTGTTACAACGATTGTGCTTTAATTATTATAGTAAGTGTATTATTAAGCATAAGTTAAATACCTGATAAATATATTAAAGAAAGCTACTAATATAAAAAGACTAAAGCAGAAGCTTTGATATATAATCTGAAGGATGAATAGGTATCATATTCTTTTTTCCATTAACATATGGTTCTTATATCTTATGGTTCCAGATTTAATTTAACTCCACGTACTCCAGCTTTTATACAATACTCTAAACAAAAGTATAGTTTTTTTATGTGAAATTTTTTCAGCTATTAACTGGAAGTGTTCAATGCACACTTCTGAAATATGCATTATCAAGAATAATAATTTCAGTTTTTACTATTCCACTTCTTTGCTATATATAAAAATAGCGGAGATGTAGAGAAATAGACCATGCACCATTCTTTCAACGTTAATGATATGTCTTGCATCAACTGAGCTTCATCTCATTTGTAACTACTGAGTTTAAGTTTTGAACAAACTTCAAGAAAGAAAATTTGTTATGTTTTTTAGAGCTAGAGGAAAAATGTAAAGTTGCAGTTGTAAGTTTAAGCACAAATATTATGACAGTGGAAAGATGAATGAGTACCTCTTTACTGACATAACATTCAAGGGAATTTCCATATATCTCAGTAAATACACTTCTTAGTTGGCGTAGTTCTGGCACGTCGTCGAGTCTTGCTGCTGCAAAAATCAAAGATGATACAGCTTCTTGCTAATCGCAACTTTCTGCATATTGTTGAGATAAAAAATAGATTAGCAACATGGCATAGAAGTAGATAACTAATTCTGAATTCCTAGGGGTTCTTGAATTACACAACCTCCTAATCTAGGGAATAAGATGCAAATATGACATGCATTTAGAATCATTTGGTAATTGTTGAATCGTATGTTCTGCATGCTCATCTTAAAATTTTAACCACAAAAATAAAGAGATGCTTACACCGTCAAAAGTAAGCACAAACTGTACTTTTGATCTAGAAAATTATGTGAATTACAGGTAGCTAGTGGCATAACAAAGTAGCTAGAACTAAGGGATGTATGCTAGAAAAGAAGAAGAGATCCTTTAAAGTAGAGTATCCCACTGAATGAATTCCATGAAGAGAAGCCACATCTTGATTAGTAACCGTGCCATATTTTTTTACCATCTAGGTTACGTCTCTTTTGAAGTAGAGAGTGAAACCATACTTGCTCTTCTACTTGCTCTATTTCATCTTTCAATGAAACCATACCCTGTTGAATGCTCAAAAAGATCGTTACATGATTATACCAATATACGTAAAAAGAGATTCATAAAAAAGAAGTAAAATATGTGGGAACAGCACAAACCTGTTCACCCAAATTCCAAAGTTTATTGGATTTGAAATTCCAAAACCTTAAAACTCTTAAAGACTGTTCACCCAAATTCCAAAAGGAAACCCAATGACCGATAGCTGAGAAGAATTGTGCTCCTCATGCTCTGTCTTGCTTATGATATCTTCCACATACGAACTTGTTTTCTTGTTGTAGCGTAATCATTAAAGCTCTCTTACCAACAAGGGTCCATGAACATTAACTTGCAAAATATTGACGACTTTTACAACTCTAAAACCGAACATATGCAAAACAAAATCCCAAACAAATTCCATAAAAGAGCTAACAGATAGAAAGCTACACAGAAAAGGTACAAATGTGGAAACTGCCATGAGAGTTCCAAACAAAATCCCAAACTGAACATAGCTCACTGCCAGAAATGTCTTCTAGAGGTTTACACACATGTTCCCTTTCAATTCACACTATATGTCTGATAAAACTATACAAATAGAAAGCTTCAAGGGCCTCCCCATTTACTGTAGACAAATAATGAAAATAATGAAAATGTTCGAATATTGCTCCGACCACATTCAATGTCTCCGAAATCAATCTAAACTGAAAACTTAAAAACACCTTCAATTTATTGCCAATAGAGAAAAAAATTACATATATAAAAAGTTAGGAAAAAAAATTTAAAATGGACCACAAAATAATAAAAAGATGCAAACTTTATTGCTATTAGTTAAACAGAAATCAAGAATAGTGGATAACATAGATAAATTTTTCAAATCAAATAGTTTCTTCTATATAACAAACGCAAAAACAAATCAAAAAGTCATAACATCATATGCAGGAGAAAAAACCTAAATTAAGAAAAAGGTAAAAAGTGGGGGTGTACTTTTTAGCGTTAGCAAAAGCAACAATAGTAGAGTGGTTTATAGTGAAGCAATAATTGTTTACATCTTTCAAATTCGAGTCTTCTCTCTTAAAAATTTGTGTATAACCCTGCCACTTGAATGACATTACAAACGAATGGATTCATCGCAACTTCTAAAACTGAAAACCCAACATCAAAAAGGGTCTATAAAAGCGAACCATTCTTCTATACCTTTTTAATTTGTTTGACGCATTGTAACGCACCAGTATTTAGGTCGTTAAGTAGAAAGATTTCAAACATATATACCAACGTAAAAACAACAATCTTAAACAAAGTACTCATTGCTACTAACAGAAAAATTCATGACAATCTCATAAATCAAATTTTGTCATCAAAATTGAAACCAAATTAAACAAACTATGGAATAAGAATAGTAATTGATCTTGATTACTTTGAAAACGTGGTTAACATGTTAACAAACATATAAAAATTTGATAGACCCAGATTTTAGAATTGATTTTTCTGTGTAATAAAAAATGGCAAACGGAAAAATTGGATACCTTCCATGATTATTTTCTTTTGATAGAAATTCATGTATAGAGGAGATGCAATCAAAGTTTGATTCAATACCAGATTCTGAAACTCTTCAAAAATGATTTGCATCGCCATTTTTGTAAGCTTTTGGTGGATTTTGAGTAGAATTTTGGAAATTGAGAGACTGATTTTTGGTGGATTCCATTTTTGATTAGGGTTATGTTAGAATTTTGGAAGTTGAGAGAAAGAAAACTGCTTCTTCAGACGTAGTGATCTGAAAAATTGAGTTGTAAGGTTTGGCGGAGGCGTTTGAGACATTATTAGTTTAGGAGACAGTTTCTAAGTCATGGAGTTAGGTTTTGATGCCCACATATGTGAAGAGGATCGTGGAGTATTTTTTATCCGGATAAAAGAAACATGGGAGTCCAGAAATTTGAATATCTGACCGTGGATGAAAAACATGGGAGTCCAAAACGTGGGGCTCATGGATATGCACAAACGTGGGACTGGAAATAACTGAAACATATTAATGCTTTAAAAGCTTCAAAATAACTATTTTATTTTATAAATTATAATTTTTTTTGAATCTCCAAACTTATTGGAGTTTTGTCTTAAATCTTGACATGTGTCGATTTTTCGGTTTGACACTTGGCACAATATTATGAATTTGCCTCACCTTTTCTATATTAATAGATAGCCCAATTCTTCATCTTTTCCGGTTGAACCAATTGAAATTTTCGTTGCTGGAAAAGGTTGTGCAAAATGAATGAGAGAAAGAAGGCACGCTGAGAAACTGCATACACTTAAGTGGAGGTGTCATTTGATGTAATAAAAAAGGCACATCATGCAATTGGGAATTTACACATGCCCGCCTGCCACAACTCACCTCCTTTATCCAGGTTGGGACCAGCAATGTGAGCAAGCTCACACTAGCGGAGTTTTTTTGAAAATGGTAACAGTGTATTCATCAGCATTAAGGAAATGTTGGCCACCCTATTTACAGTTCAACTAAACAGAGTCTTGTTCATCTTACAAGAACTACTTGTAATTCTTTACCCTCTACATAATTTTCTTTGCACACTAGCGGAGTTAAAGAAGAATTTAGTGAACTAATACATTCTCTATGTATTTTCATAATATTGACATGACATGAGTTTAAACGGAGTAATTCAGTAATATGGTTAGTGAGAATTCATAAGCGGACCTCAACTTGTTTGGAACCGAGGCTAGCAGAAGTAGTTGTTGTTGTATACACTACTATGCATTAAATTTTAAGATACGCCTGCAGTATGTTTGCCGTTGCTTTTCTAGGTCCATGAGTTTTCAAATTATTCAGTCAACTCTTCTAACTAAGTCTCCAGCTTGAGTTATGGCGCAATCACTGCTCCATTTTTTATTTGATCTTCAATGCAATAACCTCTAACCTAATGCTATTAAGTGTCAATCTATCATCCTTAGTCTTTTTAGTTGTTTGATAGTTCTTGAGAGGTTTGTCAACTGCTCTCCATTGTATAACAGGGCAGATTACAATCCAGAACAGTTTTTATGGGAGAAAGAGTTTAGTGTTGGGGGAAGAAAGTACAAAAGAGAAGACTTTGAGGCAAGTATGGACTTATGGTCACCTCTTGCCTAAAGTGGTCACACTTGCTTGTTTGTGTTGTCATGGTCTTCTAATTAATTTGATTATCCTTGTTTCATCTATCTTCTTCTTCTTCTTCTTTTTTGCAGCTTAAGAATGAAAGAGGGCATACCTTGCAATGCAGTCATTATACTCCATCATCATTTCCTGATGGTGCTCCTCTTCCTTGTGTTATATACTGCCATGGAAACAGGTTTACTGTTTGCATCTATGACTTTTAGTTCATTGAAATGAATGCTAATCTGCTTAGACTATGAGCAGTTTATGAAAGTCAAAATATTAAATATTCAATAATTAAGTGTTCCATTAGTCTTGTTAGGCTGTGGACCTTTTTTATACAGTCACATATATTTTAGTATGTTAAGTATTGAGTAAATATGTACTCAAATGCATCATATTTTCTAACATATTATTCTCAAGGTTGAGCTTTTACTAACTTTCTGGACCCTGCAGTGGCTGTAGGGCTGATGCGAATGAGGCAGCTGTAATACTTCTTTCATCAAACATCACTGTTTTAACCCTTGACTTTTCTGGTTCGGGCTTGTCAGATGGTGATTACGTTAGTCTTGGTTGGCATGAGGTACTTCCTTTTCCTTGTCTTGCATGAATTATTTTAGTGGTGCTCTTGATATATGAAAATTCTTCGTTTCTTTTTCAGAAAGATGACCTCAAGGTAGTTGTGTCACATCTGAGAAGCAACCTGAAAGTATCACGCATAGGTCTATGGGGGCGGTCAATGGGTGCAGTTACAAGGTATTTCACTTTGCACTCAACTGCTCGTTAATTTGCAGTCCAAGTTCTTCTGAAAGACAAGTTGGATTTTAGCAGACAGTTTGGCAATGGTTCTGATTTTACGTTTCTCACTAATTCCATGATCACGATTTTAGTAACTTTGTTCAATGTCCAGCCTTCTATATGGAGCGGAAGATCCTTCTATTGCTGGAATGGTCTTGGATAGTGCTTTCTCTAACTTATTTGATCTAATGATGGAGCTTGTAGATGTCTACAAAATCAGGCTTCCTAAATTCACTGTATGGATCTCCTTCTTTTCCATAAATGGACATCTATTATGTGATCTTAAATAAGTACTTGCATATTTATGATTCTTTCTCAGAAAGGTGGGTTAAAAAGAAATTCTTTGGTATTATGGTAGAAAAGGTAGTTATAAGTCATACCATGCTTGATGTGTGGTAGGAGCACAACGCATGATGTGTTGGTTAGGCACACGTCACATGTTCAAACTCTGCCTTAGACAAAAGCCTTGTATTTAAGTAGAGAAGGCTAGAGGAGCAGGCCCATATCCACAGAGTTTCGAACCATGCGCCACTGGCTCTCAGGAATTTCTTGGTTATAAAAAAAAACCGTACTATGATTGGTGTTTGATGAATCTGCATGTGGTCAGATATGGTTTTTAGAATTTTGGTTTTGCCAGTATGATTTACGCTGCTGTACCGACGATGTTTCTGCTTTATACCTGTGTTTTAAGTACTACAAATGTTTTATGGATGCGCCGAATAGGTGTTTTACCCCTGAATGTCTAGTCAACAGCTGCGCCTCCACATACCAAACCCTCCCCATTCTTTTGATTTGCGCCTCCACATACCAAATCTTTGGATTTTACAAATCAGTTGAAAGAAATTAGAGGTATTCTCTGTAATGTGATATTCCACCCAAAAGTTTGCTTTTGTTTTTGGAAGATGGCACGCAGCCACTAGCACTCAATTATATGCTATTCCTTAATGTGTTGGTTTCATCATCTTGTGGCGGAGACATCAATTTCTGTCTCAATGTAATTTTATTATTTTGTGTAGGGAGACATTGATTTGTATCTAACTATTCTTTCTGACAAGTAAACTGCTATCATGCGGATATTATGTCATTATTTTTTTTTGGATATTTCACTTGGTCCATTTATTTTGCATGGGAATGTGGTTTATTTCCCAGTTTTTGTTTGTGCTCTTCAAACAATTACACAAGGAACTAGGAAGAGGAAAGAAGAGACTGAATTATGAGTTTAAAATGTACTGTTCTCCTTGGCTCTACTAGCTCAAGATCACAGATAAGAATATGATTGATGGATCGTGTCTGCTGGATAATTTGCTGTAAACTAGGAAACATGTTGCATGTAATCCGCCTTATTTATGGCCTTTCTAGCTAAAAAATGCATATTTTGTCAAGGCTCCCTACTGTTACATCAAACAGAAGGAGAAGGCAAGAAGAAGAGTGTTAATTGTCTTAAGAAAGTTGTAAGGTAGTCTTGAGGTACTTCAGAACACCCGTGTCATTCTCATAAAGTAGTGAGACCTTTCTCTCTCTATCTCTGCAGGTAAAGGTTGCTGTGCAGTATATGCGACGCGTCATTCAGAAGAAGGCCAAGTTTGATATCATGAGCCTTAATTGCTTACAGGTACCTGAGCTCATGACTGTGTCGAGTATAATTAATTTGGCCTTTGAAGTTGATAAAAGCTTGTTTGGTTCATGTAGTTAATATATTTATAAATGCACTTAATTCTGGGAGAACATATAACTAAGCTGAGTATTACAACAGGCATGAATCTTTTTCTACTATGCACGTGTCTGATTTGGATTAAATAGGTACTAATCATGATGCTTCAAAATTTTACCGAATCTGGCAGGTGGCTCCTAAAACTTATATTCCTGCTCTCTTTGGACATGCTAAGGATGATAAGTTCATTCAACCCCACCACTCTGATCTCATTTATAAGTCATATGCGGTACAGAATATTTTGGAGATCTTTGGAGTAAGTTACAATGTGGTGAATTATGCATAATCTGTTATTGTTCTTTGTACAGGGTGATAAAAATATTATCAAGTTTGATGGTGACCACAATTCCTCCCGGCCACAATTTTATTATGATTCTGTGTCCATATTCTTCTATAATGTCTTACACCCTCCCCGGATTTCACCAACTTCAACTAAAATAGAGAAATATTACGATCTAGGCGACATCAAGGTCGGTGCTGGAATGGATGAGGTAATTTTTCACAATTGCGTTGTACTTCCAGATGAGAATAAAAAACTCATTCATTATCCAAGATTTGAAGTTTAGCTTATTTCTTACAGAGAATTATAATTATATTTAGTTGGTGAGTTCAATGTAAAAAAATATTACCTTTTGTGTCAATAAAGCAAAAAATACATTCCTAACAAATTTGAAAGGAGAAGAAATCAAATTTGTTATATGAAATTCTTGTTTTTGTTGTTGGTCAAAGCGGGAGGATATTTTGAAAGATCTTATAGTTTTTGGCTATTGTCTTCGTTCACCTAACACCACCTATGTGAGCTTTGCAACATGTAATCAGTCCCAAAACCAGATAAAGGATATGGTTTGCAGTAGATTGACGGCCAGCATGAAAATATTCTTAATATGTTGAACCCTCTAAATACTATATTCCTAGGAACATAACAACCTAGACATGCACTACATTAGTACCTATATGTAGTGTTAAATAAGCAACGGGGTCCATCACATTGACACATGGGAGCGAAGGAGTATGAACAATGGTTCAGACACCAGGTGTGGGTAAAGTAGCCCCACCTCATTTATGCCAAGATTTGGTGCAATGGTACCATACCTTTTGGAACAGATGGAGTACCTAAATTAGTGATACGGAGAATCATATCTTGGCTAAAGACTTTTCTAGCTTATGTGAGCGGGGTTTTGGATTAATCTGGAATTGTATAATTAATTAGAGAATAATCACTTTGTCTCGAAGCTAGTTTTCTAGATTATGTTGGCTTGTATAATTGTTCAGAGAAGAGTGTTCATAGGACGCGCGCAATTTGACCAGGCATAGTTACCCTTTTTTTTGGGGATAACCATGGTGTTCGGGCCAGTTTGCGCACAACTAGACTAATTCCTCGGGGTACGCGCCACCTCCTACCAGCAACAGGTACCAGGTAACTCTAGCCACCAAGGTTTGGATAGATCGGAAGAAATCACTTAGTGTTTTTTGCTTCCGCTGATATTTGAACCTGAGACCTCATGGTTCTCACCCACTTAATTGACCAATAGGCCACACCCTTGGGTGCTTAAAGGCATAGTTACCTTCTTAACCTTGTAAGTAAAAGTGATTTCATAAATCCATGAGAGCATCCAAGAGGAGAACTTGTCTAGCTCCAAAGACCCCTTAGCCACTTCATTGGAAAAATATGCATCTTGTTACCTTATCCAAAGTGGTGTAAGATATGTGTGTGTGTGTAAATATGTACATGTATGTAATATGTATATGTATGGCTGCTTACGAGTAACTCCAGAACTTCTGCATTGCAATCACTTCATTTTTTGAGAAGTAGTTGGAACAATGACTAACTTGGCTGCCATAAATTCTCCACACTACTGTGTATTGCTAGTAGTTTCTTGTCTGTTTTATCTGATGTTAACGATGTTTATTTACTTAAGTGCTGTTTTAACACATGCAATCTGATGCAATATTTTTGGTGATTTGTTCCTAGAATCTCTTATATGAGATAATTGCAAGTCTTAGGAATGTTACTTCTGATACAGCAAGCTCTTCCTCTGTGCCGCCTAGCATTTCAACAGCAAAGTCTGCTGCCGAACTTCTTTCTGACATTGCCCCAGTCACCAGTCTAATTGTAAGAGTTCTCCTTAACTATCAAGTTCCGATTTTCTTCCACCCCTATCTCTTCCTCAATGAGGTTTTCTATATGGCGGTGATGTTAAGTTGCTACTAAAAGTTGATTGATATGTGTACTGATTACAGAATCCATTAACTAATAAAGGAGAAGAACTCATTGGTCATGACACTCCACAAACAGAGGTATGTGTTTTAGCACAGTTTATTCTTAAAGGTGTTGACTAGTCGATTAAAAGATTAAAGCATTAGCTTGCCTTATACTTTAAGAATAAGTAGAGCTCTTAGTTCCCAGAGAGGTTCTTTTTTCTATTTGGAGAAGTAAAAAAGGTTTTCTCTTTCAACCAAATAAGTGGAAAATCTTCTGTGCAATCAGTATACAGATCCTTAGCCTCATATAATGTTAGACTTAGGAGGAGGAAATTAAAGGAGCAATAGAATTTTACAAGTGCCTCTACACAAAGGGAGAGTTGAAGACCGACTCTAGATGGAATTTTATTTCAGAGCATCAATTTGGCAGAACGAAATAAAATTGGAGAAACCTTTTGAAGGAGAGGTGGAGGAGGCAGTGGAAAACAGAAGGAGATAGAACGTCATTGGTGGATTCACAATGGTATTATTTCATCATTGTTGTGATATTTTCTGTGATGATTTGATAGAATGATTAGAGCACTTCTACCAGACAGGCTCTTTGAGAAGAGTCTATTTTATTATGCTCACCCCAAAGAACAATGAAGTGAATGATTTAAAGGATTTCATATCCATTGGTTTGGTGGAGAATATTTGAAGAATAATAAACCAGGTCTTAGTTAGCAAATTCATGGTTGATATCCATCTATAGATATCAAAAAAATATTAAAAGAAAAATTTTGTCTGACACTTGAAAAATGGGCCCTTCGTTTTAGAAGGCTTGAATATCAGGTTGATGGCAGTTTTAAGTGTTTTAGAATACAATACTCTTCTTTGGTGCTGGTTTTGCTTGCTTTTCCCTATTGCCAAAATTCCAGATATTCTTATTCTCAGGACAAGCAAAGTGGCCAAGATGAGGACTGTTGCTCTTACACAAGCTCAACCAGAGAGAGTTGGGGAAGGTGCTCATCTCTGGGAAGTGATGCCGTGATTTCTACAGATTTTGTAGATGCCATCGGTGGCAGTCAGGTATTTATCTTCTGCTCCCACTCTGATAATTCGATGTGAATCCACATTGCCATACTTGTAAATAGCTATTTTTTATTTGTCAACTCTGCAATTTTATTTATCAACCCTGCAATTTCTTATAAAATGTAAGTTTGTACCTCCCTCTTGGAGGGTGGCGTTATTTTCTTGGAAAAATTGGGGAGGAAAAGCACTTTCAATCAGTCATTTTCTCTGGAAGACAAGTGGAGGGAAGTTTTCTTCTTTACTTCTTTCAATTTGTCTTACATATAATGACTATAATACTTAGGTATTTATAGATACTCTTCTAACATGTACTAATCTAAGTACATGTATCTTAATTTCATCATGTGCTTCTCCCTTTTTCACAAATGCATAGGCGCTCCCCATGCTCACAGTCTGGACATGGGACCCAAATTTAGTCAGCAAGAATAACTCACCTAAATACAATAAGATTTTAGAAGTGCTAATGCAAGAACGAGAGGGAGGATAATCCCGCACAAATAATGCAGATTACTTTTCACACCTGGGTTTCCTTTTTTCTTTTTAATAAGTGCTCACCTGATTTCACATTTATGTTTCCACCATTTATTGTCATCGAAGTAATTTCTGGAAACCTGCTGGTGACTAAGAAGATTCTACCAATCAAAAGCTCATGTACACGTGCATTTAAGCTATATATTACAACAAGGTTAGAGTGGATTGACCAAAACGAAGTCTCGTTTCTCAGATATATGAAGACAGTCTTATAAAACTGTGATTTTCTTGTCCTAAATTTTGCCCATCTACATGTATGTGTTCATCCTCAGATACTCTTCAAGGTTATTATTTCCCTCTATCCTAATCTTATGGACCATACGCTATTTGACCGTAAACTGTGTAAGTCCTAACCTTTGACATTTTGATATTTGACCATGTAAGATTTCTTTTAATTTCTAGTCCCTAAATATTATTTATTCATGTTCGATATCACTCTGAAAGACGGTCACATTAACCCTCTAAAAAGGAAAGAAGCCAAGACACTTCGGGATTGATTATGATATCAACTGAATGAAAAAAAAAAACACCAACTTGTTTGATGATATAAAGTTCAAGAGCCATTGACTTGAATCTGTCTCAACCAATAGATTTTATGCTTTACTGGTATATGCTTCTTGATAAACAGTGCAAGTTTCTGCTTGAGTTGCAGATTACGGCCGATGTGCCTGCGACCCCTCTTTGTAATAAGCAGCATACTGCACTGGACTCATCAAAGGACGATGAAAAAAAGAAAGCTCCACAAGTTACAAAAAAATCTAAGCGTGAGAAGTTTGAAAAGCTGGAGGCCCTTAGCCAGCGATTACGGCTTTGTTTTATGAAGAGAGTTAACCATAGGAGATACAGCTCCTCCTAACCATCTTCTGCCATTGACAAGGATAGTCGGTAAAGTTCATTTTACAATTCTATTCACAAGCTCTGTTCTATAAATGGGGAAGTTGGTAACTCTTTCTTTAGTGGCTGTTGCGTGTATGTATGACTAGCAATTCCATTTACAAATTTATGCGCAATAGCTTAGATTTATGTAAGTAATTATAACTCATTTTTATAAAGTTCAATTTGTTGCCCATTGGTTCAAGGAAACTACAATGCAAGTAAACCACCTCATGTTTCCCTTTTCTTTCAAACGTTTGCCTTCAGTTTGATTGTGAAGTCAGCTTAATTATATGGTCATTAGTAGAGAAAATTCTTCAACAGGAAGATGGATTCTTTAGGTCTGAGATAAACAAGAGATGCAACTCAAGACTGTTGAGGAGCTCAAAACGGATGTCCAAACATGCATAATCTTCTCCGTCGATATCCCAACCACCTGGTTGTCTTCACAATGTGTGTGTGTGTGTATACATTTGTACAGTATGGAACAACTGCTTATTGACAATTTTTGGCTGTAACGCAAATATATCTGACCATTCTCGACTGAGTCGATATAATCAACCTTTATTGCGTATTTGGAGGAAAAGGCAAGCATATCCCCAACCCAAGAGGACTTGAACTTCATTCAAACATTCTGCACAAGCAAATGTTCATTTGGTAAACTGAAGTATTACCTAACATGCAGTCAAAGCAGTGAAACCTGTTAACGAGAATTATGACAGCAAAGTAAATTGAGGCACCGAAAAGCAAGATATAAAGCAAAATTATGAGAGCAAAGTAAATATGAGACACTGAAAAGCAAGATATAAAGCATTACTCGCATCTCAATTTTCTTCCCTTTCAAGGATTTAATGTTCAGGAGGCGCAGTTAGAGTTAGAAAATCATCAGCTTGCATTTACAGCTTGACAAGTCCGAGGCCCATCAGTATTCCCAGAAATTGCAATATGCAGTTTGCGAATCAATGGCTGTGGACTAACTCAGCACTAATCTCTTAAGAAGAGACATTTTGAACATTAGAGCTAGTAATCCCAAAGCGATTAACTTGTAGCAGACGAACACCTGACGATATCATATCTGCTTCACCCCAAACAACTGATGCATGTGTTGAATCTCCATTCGGTCCTCGTTTTTTTCCTCCAGTTGAAGTTCCTTCTAGGGGAAGTCCAGCAGGACTCTCATGCGAAGTTAAGCAGCTTTCAGTGGAACAATCCGTGAATTGTGGATGGATTCTGGGGGATACTTCTTCTGGACCATGGACTCCAACAAGATCAGCAGACTCCGAGGGGCATAATCCAAGTGGATTACAAAGAGGGGTAACTTGTGTCCTTGTTCCTAATCCTTGGCAAGTCTCTTGATCATTTTCAGTAGCTACACCACCAATGAATTGATCAGCAAGCATTTTACAGGCCTTCTCCAGCATGCTAATATACCTTTGTTCAGCATCCTGCCGAATTTGCAAGTGCTTCTCGGCCTGTGTAACAAAAAATATGAACAATCACCAGCCAGAATATCTTTGGACAGTAGGTCATAGATAGCAAATTGAATTGCATAATGTCATCTGGCCACTTCCTCTTTAACCTTCAAATTATTCATTGAACCCCAGTCCAAGCATATTTTACCAAGCAATTATCAACTATCTATTCCCATAGACTAAGAACGCGTTTATCTGAAAAACTTTTCTTTGAAAACATATATTAAAAAAGAAAAGATTGTCAGGTAAATGTGTTCTAAGCATAAGTCTCTAAACTCAACTCCAAGTATTTATTTTGAGAAACATTCAAAAGCAATTTACTCATCCAATGTAGTGCAGAAAACTTACTTCAACTTGCAGGTGCAATTTACTTTGCACTTCCATCTGAGCTCTCAATGCCTCCTTGACTTCATAACCTCTGAATACATTATCCAATCCTTAAACTAGAAGGTGCATTTCAAGCAAAGCTTAAACAGAAGCATCTCTATCTAATTTATTGTGGTTAGGTAAAAAGAAAGTAGTAGTAGTTGTCTTAGTTATAGGATGAACCCTTACTCATTCAAGTCCGATGCCGGCAACTGCTGAGGAGTACCACCAGAACAAGGGCTCTCTAATGAATATGTGGCTGTAAGTCCTTCAATGAAGAACAAGAATCCAGTTTCAAAAGAAAAGAAAAATTCAAAAAGAGCTTCTTCCTAGAGCCTTCTGAATTGATCTCTTCTCACACATAAACATCACGGTGTCTTCTTGGCTATTCTGTAAGCTTCACACATCATAGCCCAACTTTATGCTATTTTCCTGCATTTTTCCATTTCAAAATTTTTGGCTTTTTTTTAAGTATAAGGAATTTTTTTGGCTTATTTAAAGAAGTTGGCGGATTAATGGAGTTGGTGGAATCTACATTCCAAACGGGATACTATTGTCCCCCAGCTATTCCTTCCATGTGAAGGGGGAAGGGGTAGGGAGCTGTTTATATCAACCCTAAGGCAGCCAAGTTAGCGAAGGAAAAATTTATATCTCAGCCACTAGGCAAATTTTGAAGCTTAATTAGCACATATGCCTAGAGACTTGTGAAACTACCAGCGCAACCATGTTTCCAGTTATAGGAAAATGGGAATCAACTATACCTACCATCTTTTGAAGCCTCACCGAGATCTTTCTGAGATAGCTTACCTAGTCGGTATTTCTGCAATGAACAATGACAACATCACATTAAATACTTGATTTTAGCTCAATAGAAAACATACAAGGTTTTGCTCCCTCCACCCCACCTCTTCTTACATCTGTGAAATCAATGAAGGATGTGGGGTGGGCTTGTGAGGCAATAAGAAAATTTAATGCATTCTAATAGACCTGAAGGTGACTCTTTAGGTGGAAGAGGGTCAGTCCTTTGACACCCATTGTCCGCATTATTGCCTTTGGCGTAGCTTCTGCAATTGATATTCATAGCATATTCATGAGAAAAGTTGGCATTCCAGAGTGAGATATCAAGTGTGCAACCATTATATTAGCAAGGAAAGTAAAGTAACACAAATTTCCCCCTCCCCCCTCCCCCCAGAAAAAAACACTCCTCCTTTCTGAGTTTCTGTATCTTTTGGAACATTTATAACAGACATCTATTGAATCCAAATACAGATAATAAAGACAAGAAAAGGAGAAATCATCCAACAAGATAACTTGCCCTTGTTTCAGCCAAACAAAGAGTAAAACCCTGTACTCAAATAAATTTTATTAAAAGAAAAAGGAGTTAAAGGCAACTAACAAGAGAAAATAGTTACATTATCACACAATTTGGAATGAATGTAGGTCTCTAGGAACATTTAATTCTTTTATTGACAAGTACATCTGCACTTAACCTGAAAGATAGATATCAGACAGCACTTCAATATCTTATCTCGATTGCATATTGTTACTGAAAAATTATGTTCCGTTGCCAGAGTAACATTGTGTTTGTTCGAGCAGGGAAGGGAAGGGTAAGGGCAGAGACTTAAGAACTCCAGTACTCCAGCAACAGTGCACTTGGTACTAACGGTAACAAACTAGCACCAGATTCAGCTTTCTTTCAACTCTTCTCCAACTTAAGTCATGACCTTATCTTCCACAATCCGAACCTATGTGGTCCAGATTTTTCCGAGCTCATCCAGTTAAATATTAATCATGAATCTGCCCTAAGAAATTATTTTTCCGGTACAGGTAATAGAATATGTAAATTTCCAAACTCACTCAGCATCATTTTCCGGGTGTATTGAAAATCCCCTCTTGCTAGTGTTGCAAAAGCGAAAAACACCCAAAACTACCAAAATTGGTCGGGAGATTAAGCTTGAAGTGCACTCTTTAGCGAAGAAAGGCATATAATGAAGAACTGAAGCACAACACCAATTATAGAGGTAAAGGAATTGAACTAAACTTGCATGTGTCGTTCTCTTTTAGGATAGGTATATAAACTTGCTTGTGTCATGCAAAAGGAGAAGGCAATATTGTGTGACTATTATGGTAAAGCTAAACTAAATGCTCCTCGAGTTACTAAATTTGCTCCTTATCAAGATGAGAATCTTCACGTATATAGAAACCAAATTAAAATATTGACACTCTATAGGAGTCATTTAACTGTTTTCTAATGCTATATTAGCATTTTGAACATATGTCTTTCTGTCTATTATGGTATTTGTCAAAATTAAGCAAGATTTTCAGACAGGGTAGAAAAGAATTGTATGTTCTCTTGACCTTGCAAATAAGGACTAAGAACTGTATACCTTGAGTTAATAAAAATATCTCCAGCTTTTTAATACACTAAAGAACTTTTAATGATTCTTTGAAAGCCCAGTGGTTTTCCTTTTACACACCTCAATGTTATTCTTCTTTTTCTCCTCCAGGATAAAGGTTGTTAAGTAATTGATTTCAAATAAAATAAATTATTTTTAGTGAAGAGTCTTGATATCCAACTTACATGATGTCACCAATAGGTAAGGTTTGGTATGCTAATTGGAAAAGTTTTAGCAGTTTAACTATGGCATTTTTTTATGTGAGAAATCCCCAAGGGCCAGTGGCGCAAGGCCTGAAGCTCGATGAATAATCAGTTCGCCCTCTACTCTTCTCCACTTAAATACCAAACTTTTGTCTACGGCGGGTTTGAACTCGAGACGTGCACCTCTTACCACTAGACCAAAGCCCTAGAGCCTAGTTTAACTATGCTAATTGGGTTTTGACCTATTTAACTTTTCTTCATTCTTGCTAATGGGGTGTTTGGGGGTGGGGGAATTGAGGAGAGTGGAAGTGGAAAGATCTAATGAGTAGTTGGACCGAAAGGCTTTGTTCTGGTTAGAACTTATCTCAGCTGTAAGAATTAGCCGTCAAGTGTCAACCCTCCATAGCATGCTAGCCATTTGAAATCTGCAAAACAATTGGTGAACTACAAGTGCACTACGCCATTTACTCAGCAAAAAAAAAAAAGAGACAAAGAAACATGTACTAAACACTAAATGTAACACAGTAAAAGCTTAGGGATCCTCCACGAAGGAGCAACATTCCTTTTTTTTCTTCTTACTAATAAGAGTGGTGACCATGCAAGCTTGCAGCTCAACTATTCCACCGGTACCTACCAGCTATTTCATCGGGTACTTGTTACCTCCAACTCCAACTAGCACAGTGACTGAGTAACTCAGTACCAAGACTTTAGCCTAGTGTTTTTTTGTTGTAAAAATGGGATTTCAACCCTGATTTATTT